GCAGGGACCGTGTACACAAAGCTTTGTGGCCACAGACGACTGTCATCTGCACACAGGAGAATTTGAACATCCTCACAGCCCAGTGTGAGGTCAGTAATATACAAGCTAAATAACAGAGGCCCTAAAATCAATCCTTGCGGCACTCCAAATGTGCAGATTTGGAAACGTGGAGCATGATCAACAAAACTCAACTTTATCCAAATAAATACCGATTATGGATAAAAACTAAACTGTCTTTAAGTCACAGCCCAGAGACCTTCCAGGTCTGTTTACACCACAGGTGTTGAACTCCAGCCCTCGAGGGCTGGAGTTCAACCTGGTCCTGCAGGTTTCAGATGTGTCCTTGATCCAACACAGCTGATTTAAATGGCTAAATGACCTCCTCAACATGCACTGAAGTTCTCCAGAGACCTGGGAATGAACTCATCATGTGATTCAGGTGTGTTGACCCAGGATGAGATCTCAAACCTGCAGGACACCGGCCCTCGAGGGTTGGAGTTCGACACCCCTGCTTTAAATGCTAAAGCATCTTTCTGTTCAACATTCGATTGTAGCCTTAAACACAGCATCATCCATCACAGTCCAGACGACCACGTGACCGTCGGTCCCGTGTTTGCCTCACCTGTCCCGTGGCGGCGTAGTCCTTCAGCGGATGGATGCTGAGGCTCAGGATGTCATCGTCGTGGCCCAGGTAGAAGCGCTGGCTATGCAGCTGACGGTTGTAGACCACGCCCACCGCTGCTACGTGGTACAACACCTCCCCGCCCTGCGTGTAAAACAGGTTGTTCCTGCAGTCGTAGCCACGGTAACTGCACAGAGAAATCATTTTTTAGTATTGCACAGACACACACGTGTGATCATGCACATCTTTGGCTGATGCTGTTTGCAGTTTGACCTGATGGGGGCAGTGTTGTCTCTCTGTTACACCCACAGAAACGTGTCCGTGTGGTTTCTTATTTTAATGTCTTGTAGAGGATAAACAATGATTATGCTCAGCGGTGTGTACGAGATTTTAACACAACACCGTTATAATAATATCTAATATCACTCAACCGCAGTAAAAACACGCCCCACGTGTGACCTTTAATGACATAAAGCTTGCATGTTACAACGACCACAGGCCGGCTGAGTTACCCGTGAACAAACTGCAGTCGCAGGCCTTGGTCCGGTCCTTTCTGCCTCTTCAGAGATCCAACCTGCTGCTTCTTCTCTCTGCTCTGCTGTCGCAGCTGAGGCAGGTCCTCCTTATACACCTGCGCAGACAGCAAACACGCTCCGACGCTCACGTGGAGGTAATCCAGACAGGAAACAGACATTTACACTGAAAGGGTTCTTCCTCTGGAGAGCATGAACGCCCAGCACTGCTGCTGCTGCTGCAGAGGATCAGAAGCTCAAAACACCTCAACGTACACATGCAATGAACAGATTTCAGATTCAGGGTGATTTTCACTTCTTATGAAGAGAATCGTATACAGCCATGCTGATTATCCCGAAACCTAATCTTTATTTACCCAGGAACACCGGCGACGGATAAAAACATCCCGGATGAAATCTGTTCAATCAGCAGCAAAACAAAGTGAGGCAGCAGGTGCAGGTGAGACAAAGAATCAGAAGCTTCTGCAGGAGCTGCGATGCTCAGGAACAACACGTGCAGCCTGCAGTAACCAGCTCACCTTCAGCACATTTACCAAACATTTCATTGATTTTGCAGCTGATTGCAGGCGGATGGAGCTGCGAACCCCAACGCCTTTTTTCTCAAACTCAGTCCGAGCTTCAGAGGAAGAAGAAATAACAAGTCTCCAAAGATAAGGACCGATACCTGCCCACACTTCTCTGATAGATGTGGGTCAGTGAGATGGCAGCGCACCAAGAATAGCCCTGTAAATAAGCACATCGCTGAGCAGAGCGTTCAACCTGCGACGGCGGTAAAAGCTTTCAGCTTTGTGACGACTGCATGTGTTAGTGCTGCAAAGCTGCAGTCAGTGCTGTGTGTGGAGGCTTTGGAGGACAGGAAGTGGTAGATCTGCTGTCCACATGCTGGCCTGCTGAGCTGCAGACTGCAGTGCCTCCACCCTCAGCACACAGACTGCACCTGCTCTTTATGTGCCGAGGTCGAGTCAGCGTGTTTGAGACTTTTGCAGGGACCGGCTTTGCTCCCTGGAGGTTTGGGACTGGCGGCGCTCCACTTTCCCTTTGCTTTCATTTACAAAACGCTGCAGAGTCACGGCGGCTGAGCGTTTAACTGTGACCGGAGACGATTCGGCTGCTTCGACTTCACCTCCAGAGACAATAAATCAAAGCCAAACAGCTCCTTGAATTCAGTTATTGACTTTTATTTTAATCTAAAGGAGAGCACTGAAACCTCTCTGCACTTACTGCTTAATAAACAGCACTTAATGCTGATGTTCAGTTATTATGTTCATGCCAGTATGAAATAAAGCAGGTGAGCGAGCCAGCAGCCTCTGCTCAGACACATCTGTTCGCTGGTGTTTGACAGTCTGACCATTTATCAACAGTCTGTGAGAGAAGAATGTTTCCAGTGTAAACAGCCCATCAACAAGAAAAACGATTATTATTGGCAACAAGATATCTATTAGCATCTAAGAGGAACAAAGAGGTCCTGGTCGGGAAAGTGCGGTTTGTGCAGAAGGTCTTCGACCCTCCGTGTTCAGCAGCGAGCGGCGGGTGGAGCAGGAGATGGACAGGTGTGAATGATGGATGGAGGCGGAGAGAGAGCCGAGCATGAAATCAAAGCGTCGATCTCTCGTCCTCAGCTATGGCTACGAGCTGTGGGCGGTGCCAGATCGACTGAAACTACACATGGAAGAGTCATGCCTCCGAGAGGGCTGAAACCAGAAGCAGAGGGCGGGAAGGAGCAAAAACGTGGAGATGAGAAGGAAAAACTGAAAGAGGAGGTGTTTAGGAAAAGGGAGGAGAGAAGGAAGCAGGGATTATGTGAGGGAAGGGGACAGGGAAGGAAGCCGGGCAGGCTCAGCGTGGGAATTTTAATAATCCACTTTTTCAGGCTCGAGCTAATTAAGCTTTTGAGCCAGAGACCAAGTCTAAACACAAACACACACACACACACACACACACACACTCAGCTCTATCTACAAGCAGCATATTGTTGCAACGCTGGCGGCGCCCTGCAAACAGCAGTCACAGGGACGTGTGCCAGGCAGCGGCTGGCAGAGGAGATAAGGCGTGTTTCATGATCACCATGGAAACTACACTGAGCCCTGCAGGCTGATGGGAATGAGAGCGAGGCGGACGCACTGAAGCGGGCGCCGCTCCAGAAACATTCACAGCCGCTCGGCGGGGCCAGCGTGGAGCACCTGAGGCCCCCGACCAGCCGCCGCCGCGCAGGTCGTACCGGTCTGTCGTAGTGAATCTGCGTCTCCTGCTCGATGTCAGAGTCGAGCTCCGGGACGTCAGACACGTCGCTGTCCGACTCCTCGCTGTTGGAGTCTCCGTGACTGTCTGAAGAGGAGACAATACCAAAGACACCAGAGTCACAATCACAGGCTTCTACTTCGCTTCTAATGTTTTTTAATCTCTTTTATTTTACTTTTTGGTTTTTCACATGCTCATAAATAAAATATAAAAGTATTGGCTTTACCTGCATAGTGCATAGATATCTGTACATGCTTTATCATTATTATTATTATATTTAAAACACACACTTCTTCTGCATGTTTCTCTTCCTGCTATAAAGCATTTTTTCAGATCGTGTGACTGTTGGTGTTTCTCTGTGTTACAGTGTAAAACACCTTGAGGTGACTGTGCGCGTGATTTAAATCTTTAGATAAATAAGCTCTTACATATGAACCCACTGACTACCTGTAGGTCTGTGTGGGACTACGACAGCCTATCCACGGCCTGCTGGGACCCCAGTGCAGCTTGGATGGCCGAGCTGGATCTAATCTCTAAAAGCTCACGTTTGTCCCAGGCTGGTGTTTCCAGCGAGCGTGTGCGGGCTGGACTCCTCCGTTACTCACGGGTACCTTGGATGTTGACGTCCGGGCCTCCGTTCATGACCGACTCCGGCAGAAACCTCCACTGGAAGAGGGCGTGGTCGGCCCCACCTGTGGTCAGCACCCACTGCAGGTCATGTGACCAGCGGACGTTGGTGACGTGGGCCGAGTGGCCGATGTACTTCTTAAACTTGGCTCCTTGAAAGGAAACACAGGTTTGTTATGAAAGGAAAGAAGCAGAGGAAAGAAGGCGTGGAGCGGAGAGACGGAGGAGACGGAGACCTTTCCTCACGCAGGGGAAGCGGAAGAGCTTCACGAGGCCGAGGTCGTCTCCGGTGACGAGCACGGCGGCGGAGGGGTTGGCGTCCACGGCGTTGATCTCGGTCTGGGCTGAGTATTTAGGCCAGATGCCGCTGACCTCTGAGCCCAGCACGCCACTCCAGGAGGCCCAGCGCTGACCTTTGACCTCCTCCTTACTGACCAGCTTCCCCACTGCGGGAGGACAAGAAGAAGAAGACGGCAGTGACGACCGAAGAATAAAACTCATTTCCATAGTTTAGGGCGCCGCGGCCGATCTCTGTGCTGACGTAAGTGATACACAGCAGCGCCACAGATTTTATCGACGCCGCCGCGCCGACAGAAGCAGATAGAGAAACGTGTTCACGGTGCAGATTCATATCTGCGTCGCTGCCGGCGGCGTTTCTCTCCGCGGGTTTCTGCGTGTTTTGAATTTAAGTGTTGCAGCTTGTCCTTCGCAGGCATGAATATGTGCAGGAGACAGGCTGAAGGAGCAGGACTCAACCAGGACAGCCTCCTGCGCTCCGGTGCGTGCTCCTCCCTCTGTGGAGACCTGCAACGAGCTAAAAAAGCCTTTTTACTTCTGACAGAATCATTAAATGTTTGTTTTTAGTCTGACTGAAGCATTTTGTGCAATTCTGAGATGCCAGTGTCGATACAGGCTGTGCAGCTTTGCTGTCTGAACGTTTACTGACAGCTGCACAGACGTCAGGAATCTGTTCGACTCTGCAAAGAACCCGTTTTAAATGTCTTTAGGCTCTTTGTTAGCAGCAGCCTGTCACACACTTCATTAGATAACACAGTTTGACATAAAACTGTAGTTTTGCATCAACACGGTGGAAACTTGGTGTGTCTCAGCAGGTGTGCAGCGAATCCTTCAAGGGTCTAAAACCGTCTACAGCAGATGAACATCATGTCCAGCAAAGACCCAACACTGGTCCTTCAGCTGATCCTCTGCTGTTCACTGAAGCCTCATCACAAATGTGTCGGTGAACAGGAGGAAAGGCCGAGGTCTGAGACAAGAAGACCACAGCATCAGGTCTGATGGATCAACATCATGGTCACGTCAGTCAGTGGTGACGTCAGCAGGTTTTTATCATATACACTGATAAAAACATGTACATGTAAATACATGTAAATACATGTAAATACATGTATTTACATGTATTTACATGTATTTATATGTATTTACGTATTTACACGTGTGTTTGCACGTTTCAATAAATCATTGAAAGTATTTGCAGAACCAAACGTCGCTCCCACTGAAGGCTGTGAGGCTAGGCGCTAAGCACTGATGCTCGCTAACGCTAACATGTCGAGGCTGCTGTGTCACCTGGTCACACGTGTGATGCTGTTGGTCGTGACCTCTGCACCCAGCGAATACCCGGAGTGTCGTACCAGGAACAAACAAAATAAAACGACTTGCAGGAGGCGGAGCCCCCTCGGGCCCCCATGAGCCACGGCCCTGCACTGAGCTGTCAGTAATGAGCACGCTGCAGGTAGTGAAACTGTCCTCAGAGTACTGCGGCCCCTTTAACAGGAAGTCTGCAGTAAACTGTGAGAAAAAAGAGATTTTTTGATGGTCCGATCTCGATAATGAGGCTCTTGAGTCCAAAGTTAGTAAAACATCAGAGACGCATTAAAGTGAAATAAAAGAGGCTGAAATAAGCCGAGTTTATTTATACAGCAGCTCATTAAACTCTGAGGCCTCACAGGGATGTAACAGGCTTTGTTTTTTTAGTGGGACCCAAAATAGTGACGAATATCTTCATCATGAGAACAAAGACGTTAAAGCTTCTTATTACTGTTTTCAGAGCTTTCTTGAAGCTCGTCCTCGTGCCTCTTTTATCACGATGCGTCCAGGATCCTGACAATGAGCTGCGTTTAGATCCCACACTTAGAAAAGCACATCGCTCTGATCATCAATATTAAACAACATCATTTAATTTCTTAAATATTATAAAAACATAGATTTTGACAACAATTATTGTCTTTATTCTTAAAATATGTGGACTGTAAATACACGTACGTGACTTTAGTGTTTATATTTTAATATCTGATTAAGAATTGAGATTATTATTATTGTTATCCTGTAATTCAGAGAAGCGTCTCAAGTTTGATCGATTGATTCTTTAAAATGAGGAGGTGGCTGGGGAGAGCGAGGTCTGGGCTTCTCTGCTTAGGCTGCTGCCCCCGCAACCCGGCCCCAGACAAGCGGAAGAAGATGGATGTAAATCATCCACAGCTGCCCTGGTGGTGTTCAGGAGGTGGGAATGAGCAGGAGAGCTCCAGCTTCTGCAGACGAGCGCTACCTGCAGAGCAGACGGACGTCTCCAGCGCCCACTCGGTCCTCAGAGGCCGATTAAATATGAAAACACAGAGTCAGCTAAACCAGCGATATTAAAAAGAATGGATGCTGACATGGCTCCAACTTTTTTTTAAACATCAGCATTCTGCAAAAACAGCACGACAGCATATTCACAAAGATACGAGAGCATGGAGTCGGCGTCACAGGGTTCACTTTAAACTCAGTTTATTTCTGCTGGTTTTATTTCACTTTGTCACTTTAACGCTTTCAATGTTGGTTTAGGTTTTGTAGGCCCAGTGTAAGATAAAGAAGGATTATTCTGAGCTCTAAATCATGCAAAGCTACTCAGGCGGAGGCCAAGAATAAAAAGATGGTGAGAATGAGCAGAATCAGCCCAGCTTCAGGTTAGACCTACGACCCCAGAGACTCACGGGGCATCCGGTAGAAGAAGCGGTCTCCAGCTCCGTCGTTGGTCTGCAGGATCTTGCTGTCCAGCGTCCAGTCCAGGTGGGTGATGAAACTGGAGGACTGGCTGCACTCTCCAACCTGCAGACAGTCAGAGACGGAGTTAGCTTCGCTTCTAACATCTCAACCTTCTTCGCTGTCTCTCCAACACGACCTTCTTGTATCTCTGGGCGACAGCGTAGATGTCCACCAGTCCATCGTTGGAGCCGACAGCGAGGTAGGCGCCGTCCGGCGAGAACTTCATCTCGTGGATCACCTCCTTCCTGTCCTTGATGTGAACGACCTCAGTCATGTCTCTGAGAGGAGCGGAGACCAGCACACGCATACGTTACAAAAACAGCGTGACTGTGTTTGTACAGCACATTTAACGTAAAGGTTTGTTCAAGTTAAAGGCCAGAGAGTAGAAATGAGTTTGATTATAAGCAGAAATCTTAAAAGTAGAAACGGGTCGGGCGGTGAAATGGGACGGTATTCGATATTCCAGAGATTCGGAGTAAGAGCTGAAAAAGCTCCATCGCTCTAACTTTAAGTCTAAATCCTAATATGGACGATCACCTGATCAGCAGGCCGCGATGCTCTGACAGGAGCGTGAACACGACTAGGATCAGACCGGTGCAGCCGTGCCGGCACATTTAAAATCTTTAAAACAATCAAATCAAGCCTAAAACTGACAGGAAGTCAATGCAGTGACTCCAAAACTGGAGTAATCACATGTTCGTGTCCCAGACTGATGGATGCATGACGCTGAGCGGCCAACGGAGGCAGCACAAACATAACAACCTGTTTTATTCTTTCACAAACATAAAATTAAATTCATGTTTATTCTTTAGGTCTTTAAGACATTTTAAACAAAGCAGGAGTAACGTATGTAAAGAAAGCAGTAATGGGCCAAAACTAGAGCCTTGGGGGACTCCACAGGACAGAGAGAGGAAGAAAACCATCAACACTTTACAGAAACAGCTTTAATTTGTACACAGGCACCAAGACTGCACGTACATAATCTGTCATTCACATAGGAAACCAATTAAGAGCTGTGTGTGTGTGTGTGTGTGTGTGTGTGTGTGTGTGTGTGTGTGTGTGTGTGTGTGTGTGTGTGTGT